CCAGCAATCCCACTTCTGGGCATACACACCGAGGAAACCAGATCTGAAAGAGACACGTGTACCCCAGTGTTCATCGCAGCACTGTTGATAGTTTTTTTAAGGAATTTTGCATTTGCAATCAAAGGAATTCTGTTGCTGTTGTTGTTGTTTAGTTGCTCAGTCATGTCTAACTCTTTTGCGACACCATGGGCTGTAGCCCACCAGGTTCCTCTGTCCAAAGGATTTCCCAGGCTTGCCGTTTCCTTCTGCTGAGGATCTTCCTAACCCAGGGATTGAACTGACATCTCCTGCATTGGCAGGTAGATTCTTTACTACTAAGCCATCAGGGAAGCCCAATATTGGCATGTAACTTGCTTTTCTTTTAGGGTTCTTGCCTAGCTTTGGTATCACAGTGATGTTGGCATCATAAAGTAAGTTTGGGTGTATTTTTGTTCTTCAATTTTTTGGGAAGATTTTCAGAAAGATTCATGTTAAATTTTCATTAAATGCTTCATAGAATTTGCCAGAGATTTATCCAGGCTTGGGCTTTTCTCTGTATGAGTTTTTTTGATGACTGATTTAATTCAAGATTTCCAGGAGAAACATCAGCCATCTCAGATATGCAGATGATGCCACTCTAATGGCAGAAAGTGAAGAGGAACTAAAGAGCCTCTTGATAGGGGTGAAAAAGGAAAGTTAAAAAGCAGCCTTAAAATTTTACTCTATTCTCTCCCTGCCAGTAAGTTCTATAATGTCATGTTTTCATGCTGCTATTTAGTGAACTCTAATAACTCCCTCTAGCATTTTATGTTGGGCAGCTTTGTAGTGGTGTTGGATATTCTCAGTTTCTGTTTGGGAAGTTTTCTCCTTCATTTCTGAAATACAGCTTCAGTTAGTATTCTTTGTCAGTAGATACTATGTTGTTGTTGTTCTTTGAGTACTTTGAATATATCATCCCATGTTGTCCTAGCTTGCAAGGTTTTTCTAGACTGCCATTGATAGTCTTATGGTGGTACTTGACAAGTTGCTTTTCTCTTGTGATTTCCTTTTATTATTTATTTACTTTATTTTTGGCTATGCTGGATCTTCACTGCTATGCATGCTTTTCTCTAGTTACAGTGAGATGGGGCTATTCTCTAGTTGCCGTGTGCAAGCTTCTCGTTGTGCTGGTTTTTCTTGTTGCCAAGCACAGGCTCTGGAGAACGTGGTCTTCAGTAGCTGTGGTAATTGGACTGAGTAGTTGTAGGTCCTGGGCTCTAAAGCACAGGCTCAATAATTGTGGGGCACAGGCTTAATTGCTCCATGGAATGTGGGGTTTTCCTGGATCAAGGATTGAACCCATGTCTCCTGCATTGACAGGTGTGTTTTTTTTTTTTTTACCACTGAGTCACCAGGGAAGCCTGGCAATTTTCAAAATAGTATTGTTGCCTTTAATTTTGGACGATTTGACTCTAATGTGTCTTTGTGAACATCCCTTGATAATCAGCTTATTTGCAGTTCATTGGACTTCATGAATCTAGATGTTCATTTCCCTTCTCAGAAATGTGGAATTTTCTAGTCCTACTTCTTCTTCTTCTTTTTTTTTTAAATTTGTTTATTTTTTAATTGAAGGATAATTGTTTTACAGAATTTTGTTGTTTTCTGTCAAAGCTCAACATGAATCAGCCATAGCTATACATATGTCCCCTCCCTCTTGATTCTCCCTCCTATCTTCTTCATCATCCCACCCCTCTAGGTTGATAAAGAACCTCTGTTTGAGTTCCCTGAGACATACAACATTACTTCTTTAAGTAAGTATTGTGTTCTTTTCTCTTTCTTCACTTTTTCTGACATTTCCAAAATGCTTTATTTCAGTCAATGATATGTCTTAAGTCAAACGGCTTTTTCATTCTTGTTGTTGTTCCTATGACTGTATAGTTTTAAAATGTCTGTCCTTGAGTTCACTGAGTTTTTTTCTGTCTTATTATATCTGCAATAGGAACTCTCTATTAAGTTTTTAGTTCAGTTATTACCTTATTTAGCTGCAGAGTTTCTGTGTATTTTTTTCACTGTTGCTTTCTGTCTTTGTTGAACTTCTCATTTTTTTCATCCATTGTTTCTGATTTTGTTTTGTTGTCTATGTTCTCTTGCAGCACAATGGTTTTCTTTAAAATGGTTATTATGAATTATTTATCAGGCTCAATACATGATAACTTTCCTACTCCTGGACATTTGCCCTTACCACATATCTATGAACTCAAAGACTCATAAAACAATTTTTAAAAGCTGCAATAATTCAGTCATATATTAGGACATTATAAATGTTTCTCATATCACTGTCAGAAAAAGTTACTGAAATATTTTTATATCTTTAGGGAAAAGAATCTGTAAATTATCTCTGGGTATGTAGTAGGTAGACTCCTAAACTTTCCCCATGATCTGTATCCCCTAAAGTTGCTTGTATAATTAAGTTAACCTACAAGGTAAGAGTAAAGCAACTGTGCAGACATAATTAAAATCCAACATCAGTTCATTGTAAGTAATCTAAGGGAGATTATCCTGAGTTGGCTTTATTTAATCACTTGGTAATCTTTAAAGAATACTTAGACTTTCACTGAGGTAAGAGAGACTCTTATGCTGGCCTTGAAGAAATAGGCTGACATGAAATAGTTATGTGGAAAGAAATGGATTGTTTCAACAACTACATGAATTTAGAAGATGATGCTGGGCCTCACATGAAACTGCAGCCCCAGCCAGAGTCTGGATTGCTCCCTTGTGATACCTGAAGTATTACCTCTAGTTTAGCTATGCCAGAATCTCTACCCACACATCCTATGACATAATAAATAATTGGGATCACCTGATAGTTCAGTTGGCAAAGAATCTGCTGGCAATGCAAGAGACCCTGTTTCAATTCCTGGGTCAGGAAGATCCCCTGGAGAAGGGATAGGCTACCCACTCCAGTATTTTTGGGCTTCCCTTGTGACTCAGCTTAAAGAATCTGCCAGCAATGTGGGAGACCTAGGTTAAATCCCTGGGTTGGGAAGATTCCCTAGAGAAGGGAAAGGCTACCCACTCCAGTATTCTGGCCTTGAAAATTCCATGGACTGTAGAGGCCATGGGATCACAAAGATTTGGATACTATTGAGTGACTTTCACTTTCACTAAATAATTATTATTTAGAAATCCTTAGTTGTGTAAATCTGTTATTTAGCAAAGGAAACCTAATGCAAGGTGGATGTAAAACAAAGTTTTAAAAGAACAGTAAAAATTCATATTAAGACACACTGGTTGTTCCTCATAAACACACATGAATCTCCAGGTTTGAACTTTCATTTAAATATCATTACAAGAATACCTATAGTGATGTCACACATGTGGTTTATAGAAAAATATCAGAATTTGGACAACTTACAGTTTTCTATTTATAAAATTGAACATTTTTCATGAAATTACTGTGTCCAACACATATAAGGATTAAGATATCTAAGTATAAAAAATCCAGGCATCAAGGATTCATATTCACATTTCAATTTCCCATATATTAGGCTAATGCTGGTTGAAAAAAAGAAAATAAACAGAAGGTCCACAATTCTCCAAAATCCTGAAGAGGGGACGTGTCCATTATAAGATAGGCTTAATAAACCTAATCATAAATCTATTCCTTTTTACTTCTTTCTCATTAAAGTGTGCTAATTTTATAATAATCTTCTAAATACATATTTAAACTTGCATATAATTAACTTAGTCATTCAATTTAACAAGTCAATTAATCCATGGTACCAATTTGGACTCAGGAAAATTTTTTGATTTGATACAGGTAAAGCTGTAATATGTTAAAAAAATAAAGAAAAAACAGCACAAAACATTTATCAGTGTTCTGTTTAATTATGGAATTATGTGGTAATTTCATTTTGGGTAAATACCTCTAATTTCTTAAGTGGTATCTTATAAAATAAGTATACAGTTGTGCATATTAGCTTGCAGTACATATTCACTTATGGTCATACTTTGAATTTTCTATAATGAAAGAAATATGATATTGGAACAAACAAGCATGCTTTTTTTTTTTTTTTTAATGCTGGGCTGGAGGAAGCACAAGCTGGAATCAAGATTGCTGGGAGAAATATCAATAACCTCAGATATGCAGATGGCACCACCCTTATGGCAGAAAGTGAAGAGGAACTAAAAAGCCTCTTGATGAAGGTGAAAGAGGAGAGTGAAAAAGTTGGCTTAAAGCTCAACATTCAGAAAACTAAGATCATGGCATCTGGACCCACCACTTCATGGCAAATAGATGGGAAAACAGTGAAACAGTGTCAGACTTTATTTTTCTGGGCTCAAAAATCACTGCAGATGGTGATTGCAGCCATGAATAAAAGACACTTACTCCTTGGAAGGAAAGTTATGACCAACCTAGACATCATATTAAAAAGCAGAGACATTACTTTGCCAACAAAGGTCCATCTGGTCAAGGCTATAGTTTTTCCAATGGTCATATATGGATGTGAGAGTTGGACTGTGAAGAAAGCTGAGCACCGAAAAATTGATGTTTTTTGAATTGTGGTGTTGGAGAAGACTCTTGAGAGTCCCTTGGACTGCAAGGAGATCCAACTAGTCCATCCTAAAGGAGGTCAGTCCTGGGTGTTCTTTGGAAGGACTGATGCTGAAGCTGAAACTACAATACTTTGGCTACCTGATGCGAAGAGTTGACTCTTTGGAGAAGACCCTGATGCTGGGAGGAATTGGGGGCAAGAGGAGAAGGGGACAACAGAGGATGAGATGGCTGGATGGCATCACCGACTTGATGGACATGAGTTTGAGTAAACTCCAGGAGTTTGTGATGGACAGGGAGGCCTGGCGTGCTGCTATTTATGGGGTTGCAAAGAGTTAGACACGACTGAGCTACTGAACAGAACTGACTGAACTGAAAGCTTGTGTGTTTGTTTACAAATTTTTTTGGTAAAAAGATGGGTAAGTAAATTACATTGGTTAAATAAATAAATTTAAGCATAAAACAAAACTGCAAAAAAAAAAGTTAATTAGGCAATTTGTTCTCCAGACTTGCCCTTCCCTAACACCTTCATGAATGCTCTGGCCACTTCTTTGTTTCGGAGGCTGTAGATGAGGGGATTCAGCATGGGAGTCAGGATGGTGTAGAAGGCTGATACCATCTTGTCCTGGGTAGGCGATCGATCAGACACAGGCCGCATGTATATGAACATGGCGGCTCCATAATACATTCCCACCACCATGAGGTGGGAAGAACAGGTAGCAAAAGCTTTGCGGCGACCCTCTCCAGATCCCATGTGAATGACAGCCATAATAACACGGACATAGGAAGCAATAATGACTGCTACAGGGAAAAGAAGCATAATTACACAGCAAATAAACATTAACCTTTCAAATAACAATGTGTTAGTGCATGAGAGAGTGAGAAGGGCAGGGACATCACAGAAAAAGTGTGGTATTTCCCGGGAACCACAATATGGGAAGGACAATGCAACTGCAATAATAATTATGCCATCAGAAGCACCAACAACCCAAGAAGAAACAGCCATGAGACAACAAATTTTCTGGCTCATGAGGATTGAGTATCGTAATGGGTGGCAAATGGCAACATACCGATCATAGGCCATTGCAGCCAACAGGAAGCATTCAGCTCCAAGCAGGGACACATATAAGAATATCTGGGTTCCACACCCAGCCAGAGAGATGGACTTCTTTCCAGACAAGTAGTTGAAAGTCATCTTGGGTACAGTGGTACAAATAAGCATGAGGTCCATGAAGGATAGTTGGCTGAGGAGCAAGTACATGGGAGTGTGGAGCTGAGTATCCAGGTAGATGAGGAGAACCATGATAGTGTTTCCCATGAAGGCCACTATGAAGATGCCCAAGACCAGAGAGAAGAGGAAGATGTGGGTGGGACTGTAATCAAAGATTCCCAGCAAGATGAAGTTAGAGTTGAAAGTATGATTCTCCCATGCCATGATGAATATATTCACTGTGGAGAATACAACATGTGAGAAATATCCAATATTTTGCTATGGAAATAGCAAGGAGTTTTAGCCTAGATCACCATCACAATAATATCTATATATATAGGAAATTTTATTTCTCTGAGTATCATTTTTTTTGAATTTGTAGACAAGGGAATCCCAAGGATGGAAGAGCCTGGAAGGCTACAGTCCATGGAGTCACAGAGTCAGACATGACTGAAGCAACAGCACAGCACATATAGGAAAATTTATTTCTCAGAGAATCATTTTTTAAAAATTTGTAGATAAGAGATATTAAGCTTATTTTTAGCTTGAGTGATTTGGATAAAGAAACCACATAGGTAACAGGCATATTTGTTCCATAATTAAAATACAAATGATTTCTCAAAAGGCATATAATCTAATTTCAGCAACCAGCCAACTGAGATATGTAGTGTGGATTATCCCTTCAGAAGTCAAGAGTCATTATAAACCATCTGAAGACTCATGGATTGCTGGGAAGTCAATGAGATTTTCTGTTATGTTTTTCTATGGAATTTAGCATACCACTCTATGATATTAATAAAAACTCCTTCTACCAAAGTGTGGAAGGAAGCATGTATGTTTAGAAATGAAATAGGATTAATCAAATACCAGGTGAAGAGAAGGGATTGAGAAACTGTTAATCAGAAGTTTATCTAACAGTACATGTTTTTATAATAGTGAATTGTACTAGACAAAAATTTCTCACCAATATGACTATTACTAACTCCATCTATTAAGATAAGGTGTATCCATGAAATATCCTTGTACAGGTCATTTTTTAGGAAAAGCAGACTAGAGTGCAATAGCACAATTCAAACACCTGGAACAAATCATTTTATCTGTGTGATCTTAGTTAACTTCTCTGAGCTTTATTTTCTACTCCGTAAAATTTGACATTTTTTATATCTATATTTTAGGGTGTTATTAAGACTAAATGAGATCATGTTTACAAAGTATGGATATTACCTGGGGTATAGTTTAAAAATATATGTATATTTTAATACCCATAACTATATACCCATAACTATATAAGTATTTATAGATTTAAACTTATAAACTATAAGTTTAATACCCATAACTATATAAGTATTTTTAAATAAATAAATACTATAGGAAGGAAGAGAGATTACTCATACTTTAGACTATTCTATCTTTTCAATTTCCTTAGCCAGATTCATTCAGGGGATTCTTTGGCTTTACAGCAGTGTATTTTTAAATGTCTGTGTATACATCTATAAATATATATATATATATATATATATTTTCTCTTCTTTTATCTCTTACTTCATTATTGAAGGCATTGGCTTCCTTTCTATGTCTTTGCATGGGTTTTCTCTCCTCTGGGTGTGATGCAGAGCAGTAACTGGTATTTTGGTTTTTGGCTTTGGAAAAAAAATGTTTTTCGTGTGGTTCTGCCAAATGAACTAAAATTGTGCATTTTATTTGACAGAAAATCTGATATAAAGCACAGCATAATTATCCATTATTTTATGACCTTTGTACTAATGTTAGGGGAAGCACACTGACTGAAACTGCCCACCCTGGCCAGGCACCATAGAAACCATCTGCATGAGTTGTTTTAGGACAGCAGGTCCTGGTAAGGAACATGGAATTAATAAGCCACTACCAACCAGAAGAACCAAAAGGAGACACCACATGTCAGACCACCTCCCAGAATCCTTCTTGCTGGCATTCCACTTGGCTGAACAAGGTGTGCACCAACAGGAAGGACTCTGAGTCAGAATGATTGGCTAAAGACAACCTGGAAACTAATCCCATCATCATAAAACCCCAGACTGCAACCATGTGGCAGAGCTGTTCTCCTGGGTTCCCTTACTCTACTGCTCTCTGCTCGGGTGCATTTCCCAATAAAATCTCTTGCTTTGATAGCTCATGTGTCTCCTTGGACAATTAATTTCTGAGTGTTAGACAAGAGCCTAGTTTTGGGCCCTGAAAGGAGTCCCCCTTCCTGCAACACTAATGTCTATCAAAAGTAATCATCTTAGCTTATTCTAATATATAGCTTTTGAATAAAATGTAGCTCCATGCTGCTGTATTCCAGAAAAACTGAGATATTTTGAAATACTTATCACCTCCATCAGACTTACCTTGTGAGAGGTAACAGGCGGGAAGGCCAGGGGTCTCCAAACTGAGGAAATAGGCTGCAAGTGTCAGGCAATTTTTATCTCTCCCTTAAGCAGCAGGCGGAAACGAACTACTAGTCCCAGATTTTTTTTTTTTTTTTCCCTTCTCCATACAAAATTAGAGGAGGTTTCTCTGTGGAAATGTTTTTCTTAAGCTATGTTAATGAAACTATGTATTTGCTTTGGAATTTGTCTTTCTTTGGTTCCACCTAAGACTAACTTTTTTTTCTTTTCTCAAACCTTGGGCTGATAATAGCTCAACAAACCAGTATTCATATCAATTGTTTTATGACTGGGGGATGACACAACTTGTGCCATCCTCTCTCAAAAATGCATGTTGTGGGACAGGGGCCTGGTGAAACGCTGTCAGCCTTGATGTGTCTCTCTTAACCGATTAATAACTTTCTAACAGATATAAAACAGCTTGCTAAAGACGCAGGGGAGCACTCTCCATCCCCCTTCTAATGTCTACGTCAGAAGTTTTCTCCGTCCCTTTTTTATACCTTAATAAAACTCTGCTATACAAAAGCTCTCAAGGGATCAAGCCTGGTCCTTGGTCCTGAAGTTAAATCTTCTTCTTTGGAGATCACAAATCCAACACCATTCATCATAAACTGTCACTTCCAAGTGTTCCTAAGAAGACATGGTACTACTTGCTAGATAAAGATGCTTAAATTTCTAGAGAAAACCTACTTAATAAAATTTTGCTAAGTCATCTGAGATTTCTTTGCAATCCCTCCAGGTTATCCAGTCCCTTGTCTTTAATTACAGTTATATATGTGATAACTCATTTTTTCTCCTAAGGCCTCATATAAAAATAGTTTTATGTCTTTAAAGTGTGAATCTTATTAATATTTAATATCAATATAAAAGTTTGTCACTTTCTAGATTAATAATATAAATTCCTTAATTCTTATCACCTGTGTTTTCTGACTGATTCACATATTAATGACTATATTCACACTCCTTTTAAAAAATCTTTCATAATTTCTAATTATTTCATTATTAACTATATAAGTTCCAAAAGAGCATTTGGGTTTCTCATTTTAAAATGAGTAAATACTCATTGAGCTGTAAGCTTTATTATCTCTAAGTAAAACTATTAAAATTCACTATTTATTTTTAAATTGATGATTCACAAGTGGGGTGAACTGACTTGAGATTTGGAGTCATTTGACATGAGATTCCTATACTAGAGATGCCAATATTATTTTAATTTATTCCTTTTTTAAAAACTTGACATTTGTGGTTAGCTTTCCTTGATTCTAGTACTGGTTGTCTTGTCACTGTCTCCAGATATTATATAATTAGTTAATTTTTCCTCCATGAAATAATTTTACTCCTTAAGATTTTCAGATTTGTTCTCTTACTTTTTCATTAATATTATGATTAGTGCATCTATATATCTTCATTCAATATTTTTTTTTGAATACCAGATCCTAACAAATGCTTGCTAATTATAAATTTTATGATATTCTTCTTTCATCTTATTTTCATGCCCAATTCTGAACTATTATCTCTCCATGAATCTATCACTCTTTTAATATTAACTTCAATTTTTAAGTCATTCTCCATCTTGTTAATGATGTTTCTGCTCAAGAGTCATGTAGGATAGGAATAAGGTCCTTAGAAGGGAAATATATGAATTTTCAAAAATACTGCCCATTCACATACAAGAATGCTTGAACTATTTTACATTCTCATTAGTTACATAAACAGAAATAGCATTTTCTTTCATCACAACCTCAAAAATCATTTTCTATTGCCTAATTAAAAAAAAACTGTAAACATATTTGTAAGAAGTGGTTTCTCATTCTTATAATTACATGAATTTTCATTACTGATTTGAGTAGCTGTCTATTTATTAGTAGCTATTTATTAGTCTTTCAGATTTCTTCTTCACTAAATTGTTTTAAAATAATTACTTTATCCCTTGTGAAAGCAAAATGGTAGAAACATAATTTCATATTTTTCATATATATTTCCAGTTCTCATGTAGTCATGGCAGGTTAGGGTTGCAAAGAGTTGGACACAACACAGCACAGCTTACTTAGTATATAGGTGAATATCTGTCTGTGTATATGAATGTACACACTTAAAAATCATAAACATCAATACATTTTAGGCCTCATAATGATTTTAAAACTCTGATTCTTGCAAAGTACTAATCTGCATGAGACTGTTCTGAGTGTCTGAAAAATAAAGAAATACTCAAGTCTAATATTTGTTTTCATGTGTGTATCCTAAGTCACTTCAGTCAGCATTGGTAGGCAGGTTCCCTACCACTGGCACCACCTGGGAAGCCATAGGCAATGAAATTAAATTAGGCAAAGTTTGAGATGGGAACAAACTAAATAGTTCTGGATTTCTTGGAGGATTATACTTCAAAGTATATCTTTCAGAAGAATCATAAATGTGTCTGCAAAAAAAGAGCATGATAATCCAGGCTATCCCAAGTACAGAGTTCCTAGGAGAGCTTGTCTGGTGATTCCAAAGACACAAAGAGTAAAAACATACATTTGGAAGTAAACAATGAAAAGTCAATATCAAGTTATATAAACAAAATGAGATCTTCTCTGTAAAGATGAACACTAAAATATAGAAAAGCCATTAAAAGAAAATAAGAAATAATCATATAGAGGAAAAATGTTTTAAAAGATGCACAGCTGTCTCAATGTCAAAAAAGTAATAGAGTGACACTAGCTATGAATAATAAGAAAATAAAATTAAGTAAGCAGTCCATATGTCATATCATCAAAAAGAATAATATATTTACTAATAAATTTAACAAAATAACAGATTTTTACACTTGCAAAACTTTGAGAAAAAAGAAACACTAAGAGAAATTCAAAGATATTCTGTTAATCAATTGTAGGATTTGTTATTGTTAAATTGGAAACATCACCCAAATTGATTTATAGATGCAATACCATCTCTATAAAATGTTCCAGCTGCTTTTTTTCAGAATTGTCAAGCTAATCCTAAATTTTACATGGCATTTAAGATACCTAGAGCATCTTAAGCAACTTTTACTAAGAACAAAGAGAATTCACATTGTAAGGGGAGTGTCTAATTTCCTCTGTTTTGTCTCATCACAAGAAAAAGTTGAAGCGACAGACATTAAAGCCCTTGGCACGTAACAGCTCTCGGACAGTGTTACAGCCACCTGTTACAGCTCAGTTTTATTTAGAAAATCAAGGAAAGTAATTCTTGAGGTGTGAGGGCATGCCAACGCAAAAGACGCGAATAGGAGAGAGGGAGAGAGAGTGCGCTCATGGGAGAGAGACCCCAGGCCCTTTGGCTTCTCTTTTTATATGTTTTTTTTCTTCCCCCTGGGCCTGGCCTATGTAAATTGGGCTGGCCAGGAGTGTTGTTTGTTCTGCCTGAGGTCCTCATTCTGGTCCTCAGACCTTCCTTTTTTCTGTTTTCATGGGCTTTTCCCTTCCTTATCTTTTAGCCACCACCATTCTGGACTCCTTTTTCCTATTCCAACTACCTAACAACACTTTCTGAGTTTTCATTTACATTGAAACTAAGGTAATCAAGGCAGTACAGCAATAACAAAAGAATAAATATGTAGATGCATGAAATAGAATTAAGCGTTCAGGAGTAATTGTATCCATCTACGGTCAACTGATTTTCTACAGTCATACTAAAAAATAAAAATAAAAATAATGGAGGAAGCAGTGTCTCTTCAATAAATGGTGCTGTGACAACTGGATATAACAAAGCAAAATAATAAAATTGACCCTGTCTCACACCATACACAAAAAATTACATCAAAGGTACCAATGACATAGATATAAGAACTAAAACTTTAAAACTCAAGAGGGAAACATTAATCTTTTGACTTTGTATTAAACAATGATTTTCCAGAAATTATGCAAAAACCTTAAGCATTAAAATGTTAAATAATTTGGACTACATCAAAATAAAACAAATTTATAAATTCTAACTCTAAGGATGTTATTAACAGAGTGAAAGCACAACACACTGAAAGGGGAAATATTTGCAAAATATATCTGATAAGAGTCTATTATCCAGAATATAAAAGAAGCCTAAAAACTCAACAACAAAAATACATTTATAACCCAACTTTGTAAGGAATAGTTCGAGACAGGACAAAGAAGAAAGAAAGACGACCTCAACGGAGACAGGTTACCTTTTACTCAGGCAAGGAGGGGTGACAGTTGGTCTAATGACAAGGCTGAGCACGCGAGGGATCAGGGAGGCTTCATATTTAAGGGAAGGTTTGCAGAAGCGATAAGGCAGGTTTTTAGTCAGGCAGGCATTTTGGGTAATCTTTAGCTGAGATGGCAATTGCAGTTGAGCAGGGGGTGGAAAGGTCCAGGCAGGGGATGGAAAGTGATGCAATCTGCCCTGAGTATTGGGGTGGGGTTAAGTTCAGTTTTGTTATCCCTGAAGCCAGGTGGTTCAGCAAGGGCCCTTCTTTTTCCAGGCCTGAGGGAGAAGGGCCTTGAGGTCTTTATCTTCTTTTCTAGGCCTGAGGGCTCCTTCAATTTTAAATGGTCAAAGGAACTACATAGATATTTATTCAGAGAAGATATTCAAATGACAATAAAGACATGAAAAGATGTTCAATATGATTAGTCATTTGGGAAATGCAAATAAAAAAACAATGAAATACCACTTTAGACATACTAGAATGACTGTGATTTTTAAAAAGTGGAAGGTAATGAGTTGACAAGAATGTGGGGGGATTGAAAGCTCCCTACATTGATGGTGGAAATGCAAAATTTTGTAGCCATCGTGGAAAACAGTTTGGCATTTCTGCAAAGAGTTAAAAATATGGCTGAATAATTCTACTTACTGGAAACATGTGCACACAAAAATGTATATGTGAGTGTTAATAATAGTAGTATTCATTATAGTCAAAGTAAAAACATCCCAAACATCTTTTTTTTTTTTTTTCTCTTAAGTTTTGTTTTCCGGCTGTGCCATGCAGTATATGAGATCTTAGGTCTCAGACCAGGAATTGCACCCATGTCCCCCTGCACTGGAAGTGTGGAGTCTAAACCACTAGATAATGAGTGAAGTTTTGAAATGTCTATCAATTGTTGATTGGATAAGCAAAGTGTGGTATAACCTTAAGTGGAATATTGCTCATTCACATAAAGTAATGAAGAACTGATGTGTACTTCAACATGAACCTTGAAAATATTATGGTAAGTGAGAGAAACTAGTCATGAAATAATATCACATTTGCAGATTTCATTTATATGCTACATCCTAAATAGGCAAAAGCCACAGAGACAAAGCATAATGATTGCCTGTAGCTGGGAGAGAAGGGAATGATGAATGAATACTAGTGGGTATAATTGGTATGAGCATACTTTGGGGGGTTCTTTTGGAATTAGTTAATGATAATGCTTGCACAAATCTGTGAATCTACTGAAAAATAACTGAATTCTGCACTTAAAGTGTTGGATTTCATTGTATATGAATTTTATTTTAAAAAATTCCTGAGAATATCTTTTTTTTTATAAAGAACTTTCTACATATCTAAAAAATTGTCATTTTTCTAAAAAGAGATGCAACATATTACTACCCATGGGGAATGTCATTTAAATATAAAGTCTAATTTTAGTTTTAAAAAACATTTATAGAGCAATAATAAATTGCATAATAAAGATTGGATTACAGTTATATATACATAAATCAAGTTAATCTCATGAAACATGTAAGGATTGTTTTTAAATATGTATATTATTTACATTTGCAAATTGCAGAGAATTAATGACTCTTTGGTTGCATCAATGTGTGAGTACTCAACAGAACATTAAAACAGCTGTCATGGGCATTCAGAGACCATAAGTTTCCTCTAAGAAAAAATTTCCAGTTTTGTGGCACAATTTATGGGAAATATTTTTTTTACAGCTGTGTAGAAAATCCTGATTAGCAATTCTAGAAACTGTTTGCTAGTTTTCTAATATCTTCAAATAGATTCTAGTTATCAATATAAGATTTAGTGATGAATAAAGTCAATTACAATAAAGATGAAGGTTGTGTGGCTTAAACAAATAGATATTTTATGCGGACTCATTAAAATATTCATTTTTTATTTAAAGGCAAAAAAAATGTATAAGTCTTTGTTAGCTTATCTAGACATATGACTTATTTGACAGAATTGTCAACATTAACTATCAGTTTCTAAATTCTTTGGAATTAAGTAGGGAAAAGTCAGGAATAAAAGTCAAAACATGGGTTCAAGTAGGGCTAAAATGAAGACCAAGTTCATTTAAGATAAGTAATTGTTAAATAGAGATTTAAGTGGTTCTACCCCAATCTTTTTTCTTGGATAAAGCAAAATCATAGACTTATACCTGAGTTAAAAGACAGGCATCCTAAAATCAGGTACTCATGTCTAACAACTAGTGGTATAAAAGAAATTCACAGTGGTGAAGCAGCCTATGCTGTTATCTGAACTGTCTTTTTTACCTGTGATGTTTATATAAACTATAAATGAAGGTATTTTAAACTGGAAATAAAAGTGGGAGAATAATATACCAGGAAGAATAAGATGATGCACGGGACTCAAGTTTCTGGGAAGGAGTATTGATTACAGTGGGCATTCAAAGATGCTGTATAAAATTAATTTTCCTTTCCTCAACATTTTCTGAAATCTTTTAGATACCTCTTTGTTTCGAAGACTGTAGATGAGAGGGTTCAGCATGGGGGTGAGGATGGTATAAAAGGCTGATACCACCTTGTCCTGGTCTGGTGTGTGATTAGAAGCTGGTCTCATGTACATAAACATGGCAGCTCCATAGTAGAGTTCAACCACAGACAGGTGTGAGGAACAGATGGTAAAGGCTTTGCGGCGACTCTCCTTGGAATCCATGCTGATGACAGCTTGAAGGACTCATGAATAGGAACCAATAATCACAGAGACTGGTAAGACCAGCATCACCACACAACAGATAAAAAGCAATTTTTCAAATGCAGAAGTGTCTGTGCAAGATAGATGTAAAAGGGCAGCAACATCGCAGAAAAAGTGATGAATTTCCAGGGAGCTACCATAAGGGAATGAGAGGGCTGCTACAAGCACAATGATCCCATCAAGAGAGCCCAAGATCCAGGAAGCAACAGTCATGAAGACACAGCGTTCTGATTCATCAGGATGGTATATCGAAGGGGGTGGCATATAGCCACATAGCGATCATAGGCCATGACAGCCAACAGGAAGCATTCGGCTCCAAGTAGGGAAACATAGAAGAATATCTGGATCCCACAACCTGCTAGAGAGATGGATTTCCTGCCAGACAAGTAGCTGAAGGCCATCTTGGGTACAGTAGTAGAGATCAGCATGAGGTCCTTGAGGGACAATTGACTAAGGAGAAAATACATAAGGGTGTGGAGCTGGGTGTCCAGGTAGATAAGGAGAACCATGAGAGTGTTTCCCATGAAGGCCACTGTGAAGATGCCCAAGACCAGAGAGAAAAGGAAGATGTGTGTGGGTCTGTGATCAAAGATTCCTAACAGGATGAAGTCCAAGTTGAGGGTCTGGTTTCTCCAAACCATCCCGGATAATTTGTGTTATCTGCAAGATCCAGAATGGGTAGAAACTTGTTTATTAGTTTTCAAATGCATAACAGGTCAATGTACTCAAGTGGACACCGTATTGTATGCATGTATAAGAACTCTTCACCAACTTTCAGTTACCTCTTCTTTGGTCACAATAAGTTACGTGATTTGGTCCATTGCTTTCTAGTCATTTTTTCAGCCAAACTTACCAAATAAGAACTTCAATAACTATTTTCCCTATTTCCCAGAAAAGAAAAATGTATATTATAGACTTACTCAAAGGTACACAGTCAATAGAGAATCTAGGAGAAAAATAATTACCAGTATCTGTTGCTAAATTTTATGAAATATCCTGGATCACATAGTATTCTCTATTGACAGTTGTATTCTTTGTCTTAACATGTCTCCACTTTGTGCTCTCCTAACTACAGAATTCCTCTTCTCTTGATTCCTTCTACCATCTTACCCACTTCTTGTGTATCGTACCAGCCATTGAAACGTTGCATTGGAACAATATTGTGCTCAGTTGCTTAGTCCTGCCTGATTTTTTGTGACTCCATGGACTGTAGCCCACCAGGCTCCCCTGTCCATGGAATTTTCCAGACAAGAATACTGCAGTGGTTGCCATTTCGTGTTGTTGCCATTTCTTACTCTGGGGGGATCTTCCTGATGCAGCAATTGAACCAGCATATCTTACACCTCCTGCACTGGCAGGCAGATTGTTTACCACTGTGCCTCCTGGGAAGTTCAGATCAATATTATTATCCTCAAAGGGGAATCTATATATCTAATTCAGAGAAGGGCTTAGTAATGTACATTTTAACTTTTCCATCTCAGACTAAGCCTTGGAGACTTCTTAATTCATCAAAACTCCCATTATGCTTTTATTTCCCCTTGATATAAAGTAATCTATTTTTCCTTAATTTCTCATCTTCTTATTTTTAATTCAGCTTAAAAAAAATCTAGGTTTTGTCTCACTCATATCGGACTTTTTGATATTGAATATCCACTGATCCACTGACCCTAGATTGTTTATCATGGTGAATGTTTATCTTTGTGTAGAATATTTATCTTTCATTCCATTAAAAAAAAATTCTAAACAATCAGTGTTTTTCAAATACGTTCTGTAGAATTTGATTAAATTGTAAAGGATTCCAATTATCTACTTTTTTTCTCTAACACTTCAATGAAAAATGGAGATACATCAAGCTTTTTCTATTTAAAATTCACAGCTTAATTGACTATTGTGTGCAAGTGCTCAGTTCCTCATTCGTGTCTCTGACTCTTTGAGACCCCATGGACTGTAGCCCTGTGTACATCAAACCAAATAATGTGTATTTCCAAGGATATAGCAGGTTCCTGAGAATTGTTGTATAAATTATTTTTAATGATATAAGGCTTATGCCGCTACAACATTTTATGTAGGATGGGAACATTTCTTATAAATATTTTTGCTGCAAAAATTTTCCCTAACAAATATCTTATTTATGTATTGATATTCAAAATTGATTTTTGTTACTTATACTTAAGGGGCTTCCCTAGTGGCTCAATTGGTATAGAACTGCCTGCAATGCAGCACACTGGAGTTCAATTCCTGGGTAAGGAAGATTCTCCTGGAGAAGGAAATAGCAACCCACTCCAGTATTCTTGCCTAGGAAATCCCATGGACAGAAAAGCTGGGCAGTAGAAATATCCTCAGAGATATTTTTGCAGCTAACAGTGCACAAAAATGCCATGGCTTTATTTATTTTAATGAAATTAAAATGTTATATCAGTATTCAAAAAAAACAAAACAAAACACCACATCATTCCCTGTATTCTAATATTTAAGCATAGAAGATAGCCTTATGGAATCAGATATGCTGAATAACTGAAATTGGGGAATAATTCCTCAGGTCACAAATTTCTTTCTTTGTATAACAATTGTGTTAGGTACTTTCACTTATTTTAATGATGACTATGTGTTGAGAGAATCCAAATTTTCTACAACAAAATATATATCAAAATTTTAATAACTCTATAAATAAATAAATATAGTCTTATTCCCAAGGTAGTCAACATAAAGAACTGCCAGCTTCTTTCTTTATTCTCTTAATTTAAAATCTGAATTCAGTGTTACAATTAAATATGAAATTGCAAAATTCTGACATCCAAGATAACTTCCATACTTTTCATAGTTCTATATTCTTTCATGCCAATTGCTAATGGAAATTGAAGAATAAGACCCAGAGAGATGAAACACACACACACACACACACACACACATACTTTAAAGAAAAGAAGTGACTTAATGAGAGAAAAATTAAATATATGGAAGACCTTTAGAGGCATATGAGGAAATGAGTGGTTAAAAAAATAGAGCTGATAAAATAAAGGAAAAAGGAAAAACAAGGTTGAGGGCTCAAAGTCTTAGATGATTAGATATTCTGAAATATTAATGGATATGAAAGAAGAAAAGACAGCATAAGTCATGGACCCTGATAAGCATAGGGCTCTGGAAGAATGCGCAACTATACTGGAATCAGGCTTTCTCTAGACTTTATGATATCGCCAAACTGAAGATTTCCATTCATGCACTTCAAAATGTTCCATATTCCCACATCTTACAAGAGTTTCACAGACTGAAAAGTATAAGTGAAAGCGTTCAGTCATGTCCAGCTCTGGGACACCATGGGCTGTAACCCACCAGGCTCTTTCGTCCATGGAAATCTCCAGGCAAGCCATTCTCTTCTTTAAGGAATCTTCTTGACCCAGGGATAGAAGCCAGGTCTCCCACATTGCAGGCAGATTCTTTACTGAGACCCCAGGGAAGCCTCATAGAGTGTACAGTTTCACGAGTCAAACTTCATTGAATTCTTCCTTTCTTTGCTTTGATGCACCAATTCCAAGAATTTTACTAACTGGTATATTTTGTGAGATATTTGGAACATAAACAAGGAAATGGGGTTCTCTTCTGTTTCACATCACTTTCTCCAATAATTTATAAACTGAAAATTTGTATTATGTGGTGTCTGGGGCATTTTTCATATCTAAACATTCATGAGTCTCTTTCAAAGCAGTATATTGAAATTGCATGGTTTATGATTATTTCATGAAGCCTTTTGAGGTGTGTCTCTGACAGTTGGAAGATATATATGTATATCATATTTATCCAATAAATATGTCTAATAAATGAAAGATAATTAAGGAGAGCAATTCTCTGTTTTCTCTCTTATTTTTAGTATAAAGGAGAGGGAAAGATAAGGATGTGAAGGGAAATGATGATACTTCCATGATATTGTGTAAAACTGTATACTGTATGCTAAACATAGAAATATACATCAAATTTTAATAATCAGGATGAGAAAAGTTTGTATTTGTATAATCTATTGAGTGTCAAAATTTTTTTCACACACATTCACTACTTTATTTTTTCATGGAAAGCATTTAAGGTCAATATGGAAGGTAACAAGAGTCTCAGAAAAGAGTTCATTTTATATTTATACTTACAGGTAGTGAGTCACCTAATAAATCCTAGAATCTCTGAACTGGAAAGTAATAATCACTCTCTGACTCTGACTCTATTGCAGGCTTTCCTTCTTCCTCTCCTAGAAACATTTAGCAACAGCTACTCAAATGGTCCAAAGGAGCCACCTTTGCAAAGACTGAGCCATCATATGGTATCATGGACCTTAAATCTTTTACCTCCACAGAGAATTCAGTCCCTTGACTTTAATTATACAAAGACAGGCTCTCTTTCAGATGTTACATTGCATGGCAGAGGACCACACAGTGGGCTTGTTGGTAGAGAGAGAGAGACCTGGGATCAGAGGCTGGAGTGTCTGGTGTTTCACTGGGTCACACATTATTAGATAGTTTGTAAAAAAAAATTCAACAAAATAAAAATAGGTAAATTGGACTCCATCAAAAAATTAAAACTCCTGTGCACCAAAAGACACAATCAACATTGTGTAAGCTCTACATGTGAAATAAAAAAGAATATTTATAAACCATATATTTGATATGGACATTTGGTAATATCCAGAATGTAGTTTAAAAACTCTACAATTCAGTACACTGATAAAAATGGGCAAAGGATGTGAATGGATGTTTCTCCAAAGAAGATATACAAATGACCAATAAGCCAATGAAAAGATACCTAACATACTAGTCACTAGGAAAATGCATATCAAAGCCACAGGGAGATTCCATGTCACACCCATTAGGAAAGTGATTATCAAAGAACAAACCAACAAAAACAAACCAACAAAAAGATATTGGCCAGAATTTGGTGAAATGCAAAACCTTTTGCATTGTGTGAATGTATGTATAATTTTGCAGCAAATATGAATAAAAATATGGTTCATCCTCAAATTGGGGAAAAAAAAAAAGATACCATGCAACCTAACAACTGTACTTCAGGGTGTATACACAAAATAATTAAAAGTAAAGACTTGAAAAGGTATTTGTAAACCTATATTCACAGCAGGTTTGCTTGCAATATTTAAAAAGTAATTCTAAGTAAACATCCATCATCAGTAGAATGTTACCTCATGGATGAACTTTGAGGACATTATTCAAAATTTAATAAGCAAGTCAGAAAAGGTAAATACTGCCTGATTTTACTTTTATGAGCTTCCAAGAATAATCAAATTCATAGGGCAAAAAGTGGAATGTTGCTTGCCAGAGTCTGGGGGATAAATGGTGACTTATTGTTCAATGAGTATAGAGTTTCAATTTTATATGATGAAAAGTATTAGGGAGATTTACTTCACAATGATGTAAGTGTGCTGCTGAAGTATACACTTAAAATGTTTAATATGTTCATTTCATGTTTTGTGCATTTTACCATAATTAAAAAATAAAAAATTAAAAAATGTATGTCACCAATCACAAAGAAAACCCCAGAAACTTTTCCTAAGTGAAGAACACTAAAGAAGTAAGTCAAAGAAGGGATATTTCCTTATTTGACTTTGATTATTTTGCTATATAAAAGGCATTATTGAGATGTGTGGCAA